GAAAATGTTCACGACAAATAGACTGGAAGGAACGTCAGTTTTTAAAAATATTTTTTGTTCTTCCAGTAGCATCCATGAAACGTGGATCCTACTGAGGTTTGTTCAGCTCTGTGATCAGACGTCCATGGGCTTGGTCCATGGACGACCTACTAGCACGAATTCCTTGCCTTTCTACCTTACGTCTATTGCCCTACCTGTTCGTAGGTGCGCTTTAGCATATCTCTCAATGGCATACGTAGGTATCTAGTTATTTATTGTGTATACATAATTCGATGCTTTTTGATTTCTCACTCGTCCGACTTGCCTGACTCACCTGACTCACCTGAAACCACCTGACTCACTCGGACTCCCTTTACTCGCAATCAGTTAGCCAACTATATATATATATATATATTCATCTGGCTTATATTAAGAATGTTCTTATACATATGTAGAATGATGTACACATGCAGATAACGTACCCACAGTATTATAAACTTGCAGCCCATCTCAACAGGATCGTAGGTATTCCTTGTACACAGCCCATGGGAGTTTCTTCTTGGGAACGAAAGTCACGTGGAAATCATCCTTTCCCACGAAGACACGGTACCCGATCAGCTTGTTGTTTGCGAGGAGACCGAAGTCTCTCCTCTCATTTTCTCTCTCTATCTCCCCACCGTAACAGATGAAAGTTTTACCGAGAAGTATCCGCGAGGAGTAAATCTTCATTTTCATCAGCTTCAAGTTTCCGCCGCTAGATTCTCTTTGGGCGCTGCGAAACGTCATTTTCTGTGCATCGTACGCGCCATCTACATTGTCTCGCACCACAAGTCATTCTCGCCCACATGAAAATTCCTCGCGAAACTTCAAAACGTAAATTGTAAATCAATTGTCCGGTGCGAGGGAGGCGTAAAAAACGTAAGACGCAGTGAACTTTTGCATAAGGCCCACCGCGTCGAGAGGGAATTGTTGGCGAGTGAAGTTAGTGTGTCGATCCGTTATGGGCCCGAGGCTACGTAAAATTCGATGGGCATTCGACACCAGATCAGCTGTCTTCCTTTAGATCCACGGATCCTTTCTCGCGCTCATGCCGAGTCCGCAGGTGATCGTTCATGATGCTAATGGGTCCAGGAATTAGGTCAGTAAATTACCAGATACGAAAGTTTTCAAAAGTCCATCGAAGAATCGTAATCTTCAAACTCTCCTCGTTATTCCCTTGACACTTCGTGCTCCTTGCGTTTATGTTATTTTTTTTCGCCATTCTCATATTTTCAACGGTTAAAATTCGGCTCGCTATATCATTATGTATACACGGTACAGTCACTCTAGAAAACTTTGAAGTCTCTTACGTTCTCTAAAGTACTAACTGCTATCGTAACGCTTATTATCGTTACCTCTTGCAGGGAATTGACCCATATAATGTCTCGAACCGGATAAAAAGTCGAACGGCTTGCCGGGAACAATGGAACCGTATGCACGCGTTCTTCGCACGATAAATTAACGTTTGCAGGACCGTTAGTTAGCTGACGTATTCGCCAAGAGTAGATTACCAAGTCCAACAGTAATAATTACGGAGCTATGTTTATATAACTGTTCGCGCACATAAATACAATAGACTTTTCTAAAAGTTACTAAACCAAGTCGCCTAGTGATTTTGTAAAAGCACATGTGTCACTTCCGTTTTTCGTTTGGTAACTTCCGTTCGTTGATCCACCTCAGCCTAATGTATCATTACTCAGTATCTCGATTCGCAAAAGAAATCTAATTCGTTAGCTGCAAGTTATCTCCTGCAATTTTCGTCTGATTATTATTCTAGGGAATTTTGTTATCGCGTCAGCATCAAATTCGATTAAACAGACTCGCAGTTGGCTAACTTTCACGCAACCAATTGCTCATGGGGATCATGTGTGGAACAGAGTTGAGGAGCTAATTGGACTAATTGGAATAAAAGATAAACAACGAATCGATCGTTATCCTATGGATAGCTGAGGGTGATCTCGATACGCGAAACTTTCAAGATAAACTGGTTCCCCATGCAGATCGGAATTTGTCCTCGTTACATCTCATTAACTTTATGTCCTATCCTTACCATATACAACCTACGTATATCAAGGGTCTTACATTCCTCATTGACGTATGAAGTATCCACGAGAGAATTGCAGCTGAGTACATATGCAGCGATACCAAAACATCTAATGGCGTCTTTCTAAAACCAACAGGAAGAGTCATTTTGTGATTTCAGGTTACGTAAATACGCGACACGTCGTAGAATGAAAATTCGCACGGTACGAGAACACGAAATATAGATATACATGTGTGTGAGTCTTGTCATGTCGTGAAATCGAATACGTCCGATCGGCTTTGAAACACTCGATACCGGACGTGTCCTCGGATCTCGACTGGGCGTCGCGACGCTCGTAGTAGCGAAGGAAAAGTAGGCGGAAGAAATTGCTGCTTTGGAATTATTGTGCCGTCTATGGTAATTGGAGGTTAAGTAAATGTAATATTTTATTTACCTAGTTTGCCAAGTAATCCCGTAATACTAATTGAAGAAAGTTTAACGCCTGTTGACCTTAAGGCGTGACGATTCAAAACTGAGATACATAAGAATATCGGTGCTTGGTCTTTTTTCATTTGGTTCGTAGAAACTATGTATATAAGTGCACGGGTGTATTGGGAAGACGGATAAGAAAAATTTCTTTTCTCATTCTTCAATGTATTCACGCAATGTGGATGCTGGCGAATATTAATGGCGCAATCATCTTGAGCTGTAATTAGACTTTTTTTCTTTATTTAAATTCTTACTTTTATTTTTTGCACATATTATCTTTCCATTGCGTGACATACATTGGATAATATTAGATGTAGAAACATATGTGTGGTTAGTATGTGTAGGGTTAATCAGACCATAATATTCAAGGAAAAGTATTCTGAATTGATTGAGTGATAAAATAACTTAATTTAGTAGCCGTTAGATACACGTGATTATAAATTTCCTTCTCATCGCAGATGATATGATACATCTAATGGGACATCTGCATTTTTATAGTCGAATTAATTAATGACGAATTATTTATTAGTCTGATATTTCAAAGTTGTCTAGCAGTGCGACAGAGAGTGACTCATGCTATATTAGTATTACCTCCATTCACCTGAATCACATAAATTTTTCGTAACGCCATGTTATTTAAAAAATATTAATTTATTAAATTTTCCTATTTTTAATTACAGCGACATTGTACAATGAAATTTTTATACAATTTTTCATATCTTATACCTATAAGGATACCGTTGATACGTAAGATTGCCGCCATTGTGACTTTCGTAATCGTTTCGTCATTTCACCGAGTCAATGATCTATAAATGTTTCTGATTTCCCAGCGACAGATCTGAAACGATCTCTATAATTATTAACGAGTAAAATCACTGGCCGTAGGGCTATGGTTGTAGTTGCGGATATTATTATTATTGACTATCAGTGCCACCTGGATAAACCAACTGGCAGTTAAATCGAACAACGAACTGTTTTGATTGCGATATAAATCCTGCGCTTAATCATTGTTGGATCAATAAAAAAGAAATCAGCAAAAATTCTAAGGATTCAACTGCCACCCTGTCAGGGGTCTCATAGAGGACCTAACCAGTCGAAAGTGGCTCCCTCGCACCACGAGGGACCTCAGGGCCGTACTTATTCTTCGCCGTTCATGAAAGAGACGTTATCAACGGCCATTAAAACCATATAATTTTTTCCATCACGTTACCGAAACATTCGGTATTTCTGATGCGTCCGCGCGTGAAACAATGGCGTCCTATCTGACAAACAGATCTTCTTGAACGAGCGGTCAGAGTCAAAGTAGCTAAGAGATCCGTTCGTAAAAAAAAAAATTCTAATTCCTCATCCGTCTTCTCCCACCTCTTTGCGATTCTCATTACGACTCTGCCGACTCGCCTTAGAAAGTGAGTTTCCGATATTTGGGTCGACACGGATTCCACGCGAGGCTAATAAATAATCACGAGCGCTGTATTACCATCGTTCAAAATATATGATACCAGAAGAATTTTAATTGAAAAAAAAAATATCGTTTGTCGTATACCCTATACTAAATAACTGATTTTATACAGATAATAAACATGCCAGGCTCAGAAAGCGAAAAATGTTTGGAAAAGAAAAAAAGAAAGTCTGAATATGAGGGAAAGTGATTTTCAAAATTATCACTTATCTACACCATTACGCCGGAGGTTTTCATTTTTTTTCACGCACTTTCACCCTCCGTCCTCATGGCAGGACACTTTTACTCCTAGCCCGGGGCCATTGGCATGTACGCTACAGCACCACGCATGATGTCTAAGCATAGCGTGTGCGCATGCGCGTGTGCGTACTAACCCACCGAGGTATTCTCGTGATCCGAGTAACAGCTCGCGTTTTATGAGAATCTGGTCGAGCGTCCGGATTAGCCATTGATTATCGTAGCGTGATTCGAGAATGGATAGAGTACGTGGCTGCTTTTAATTGTAATTTACGATATGTACAACTTTACGTTATAGTACTAATGGCTCTGGGTTTGGTTGCGTTCAACTTGGAAAACATTGCTAAATATAGTGAATGTAAATTGTACGTGGAAAGGTACTGTTAGAGGACCTTGCTGTTACAAGAAACCACGTATAGATGTCTATAAATCGTTATATAGATATATAATCTCCATATTGACTTGTTGTGTACATGAGATACACGTGCGTCCTGCAGCTCACGTGCACGATTGTCCGGATAGTAGGGTCGAAACGTGAGGCAGAGATTTTGTCATTTTTTTTTTTTTATGAAATCGGACAAATTTTTATCACGAAGTATGTCGCAGCATCTCGACGAGGGGTTATGGCTCCCGTGGCAGAACGACCGTAATTGAAATTTCTCTAGACATCTGGAGTACCCAAGGTGCACCGGGACATTAGCCGACTCTCTAGACACTACAGTAGGAGTCGGAGTTTCTTAGTGTTTTGCAGTCTAGGAACGACCTTCTCCACGGTTTCCCTTGGAGCGAGCGTGAAATGATTCGTGGGTGTGGCAGGGAAACCGTCCGGGAAATGCAAATAGTCGAGTCTCTCTAGTCTCGATGCTTTATAACCTACAAATTTTGCAGCGTACTTGACCCATAATTAATAATATTGACTTAGCAATATTATTAGCAAGTGAAGAATTATTAAACAAAATTCCTACTATCGGACTATGGATACCGAGGATCTTAAGTATTTGAATGAAAGACGAGTGTCAGTTGCAGTTGACGTAAACCGAACATAGGAGAAATACCGTTAAGAGACTGAATCCTATCTGAAGTTGCAGCTGATGGCGAGATTGTCTGATTGCGCAATCGCGCAGTCTTAGATGTTCTCTTCGGTTAAGGAATTGTAGAACCAGGCATTCTAACCCTGCAATGCATCATGGGAAATGTGTCAAGCGTTGGCGCCGCCTTCAGTGCGGAATTGGAATTCCTGGTCCTCGTAATACTTTATCTTCGGTGGTCCTCACTGGCGCCATCTGTCGAGCTACACTTTTTATTGGATCAGCAGATGATAGGAGGATAATCAAAGGCGTCCAATGACTCGGCTAATTCGACACACAATCCTGATCGAAGAGTGGGAGCGAGTGCTCCCAAAAGCATAATTGGTTACAGATGGCCGATTAAACCGGCTGTGCTATCATTGTTCTCGGACTGGCTCGGAACGTGCTGGGTGGAACCCGAGCCAGCGGATAATCAAACAGTGAAGGGATCCGATTAGATTAAGATTTACCGTCATTTATTTCTCAGCCGGAACGAAACCGGCGATTCTCGGAATCGTACAGCAAAGACGCGCAGAGGCGTCTGTCGCGAAATAAGCGTTCCGTGTGATCGAACGTGCCGCTATCCTTCTATTTATTTTTTATTATCTTTATTCAGCTTCCCTCCGTTTTTCTTGATCTTGAGTTCACTCTGGTCACTTGGGTTGATTTTGGGATCCGAGCTGTAGTCGCACTGATCTATCACGCCCACGTCTAATCACGACCGATATTTATTGGCGTCTGTCTGACACTCAATTAATAACGGACTTGCTAGCGGGGACTTTCGGACGAATGTTGTTCCGTTGGTAACCCTGTTGCTGTTACCGGTTCCCACGATCAGCCACTTTCTCTATCGTCGAACACCCGTCGAATCTCTTGCAGGATATTAAATCTTGCGACGTCGCCGACGCGCGACAGGAGGATGCTTCTCGTATTGGATGCATCTATTATCAAGTTGTGTCCGTATCAGAGCTTCGACTGTGGAGGAATCGATAATACATTTTTTTTATTAAAAAAAAATAAGTTTTTTTTGAAACTCACCTTTATTCAATGTTTTTCTATGAAGCTACTTGGCGACACTTTTCTTTTACCGGATTTCTGGGTAATCACGTAACGCTACTGGATTGCAGGGTGAAGAATATCATTTAGGATTCCAAAAATGGAAAAGTCCCGCATTTCCCTTTCTATCCTAATGCATCGACGTCTTTCGCGATAATCGCCAAATACGGTCACGTTTCGCGGACGTAAGACAGCGAGTGGCCGGCTTGCAAAAAGTCATTGAGTAAGTGAGAGTAATCATCATTATTCTCGATTTACCACGCACGTACGTATTTAAGGTGGATTCACATTGCCAACGAGTATCGACACTGTAGAACAAACCATAAACAGGTCATCATTCACTGTCTACGTAATTCCCGCTTACCCCCGTAGTAAAAAATTAAAAAAAACATGTACTCGTAACATCGAATATCCGTAAATAAGTATAATTACGTCATTCACAATAAAATATTTCCAAAAAGAAATTCCTACCGCTTCATCTTTCCTTGGACTTCTTGAGCCACCTGAGGCGATCATAAAGATGTTGCAAATTCCCATATACATCTTGCGCCACTGACACGGATACCAACCGAACCTAGCAAACTTAGAATCGACAACTCGACCGTATTCTTAACCTCACTTTCCGTCTTGGTTCTAACGTCCTAAAGGAACTGGCCCTCGTTGCCATAGCTGCTAATGACCATGTAATCATTAGCGCGATGAGTGCACGATGAATGGGACAGAGTTACGTCCCAAGTGAAACTACCAGTCAAAGTTGAGCTGCTGTGAGATGAGCGAGATGCTCAGGATTAAAGCGCAGCCACGAAGAGTAATTGAACGATACGTATGCGCGCGCATGCGCATTGCGCGTCAAGGCTAAAGAAAATGTCCGAGGGATCATCGAACTGCGTTCCTACGAATTCCCACTGCAACTTTAGGCCTTCAACAAAATTGGCATCACTGCAGATTCCGACTTTTCTCACGCGAATATATCTCAAGTTCATTAGCGATCTTTATTGAAGCTACAGTTGCGTAAACTCCATTAGCGTGCGTCATAAACCTGGCGACCCTTACCGACCCAAGTTTCCGTATTCGATTATATTGAAATACACTCGTTCCTCATTTTACTTGCGATTCGAGCGTCGATTAAAACAATTTTCTTTTCTCCTTTAAATTTTAGCTGCATTTTTATCATGCAGCGTATATTCGGGGTTACGAGGGGGAGGCTGGGTCTTTTGTTTTCTGTAGACGCGAAGCCTCGTGGAATTTCAATGAGAACTTCCTGATCGTTTCGCTTCATTTATTATTTCGAATTGATTTTAGATGCTAATTGACTCGTGCCATTCTCTCAATGGTGAATCGCACCAGAGCTCGGTCTTATACGTGTGAAGTTTCTTTGCCAAGAGAAGCCCCGCACTTGGGTCGTGGAGAAAGGTGTTGAAAGATACAGGATTTTTCTTTTGCCTTTCTTTTTTCTTTTTTACACAGAAAGTTAAAGCTACGCGGAACTATCTAACAGATATATATATATATATATTGAACTTGTTGAATTTCGAATATTTACGCAAGACACCGGTCGACGATAAAAATGAATTATTTTACTTATATTACGACTTATGTCACTCACATGAGGTAACTTCGCGGTGAAATTAAATGGCATCAAGTTACGAATAATTATGCGTAACGAGATAAAATCTTCTTGACGTTCTTTCCGTATCATTTTTTTTCCCAAGATTCATTAAGTATTTCATAATTGATTACTCGTAAAGGTATTTTTTACCTATTTTTTATTCACGGCACGAGTCTCAGTCATTGCGTACGGTGAATAGTGGACGTTAAGGCTGTTTTCATGGCGGTAACAAAATTCGTCATTCAAATTCAAATTCGTCACAAATTCGTCGCGCGTAATGAATTTTCCACTTGGGCGACTTGGTCGCTGATTAAGAATTTCGAATACTCTGGTATCTACCGTATTAATATATTAAACAGCTTTTTATACGTAATTGTTGCGTAATACCATATTGGTCCAACAGATGATCCACCGAGTGGACTCACGTGACGCTTATAGACGTAACTCCTTCTCTTTCACTGAGAACTTATCTTTTTATTCTTTTTCCTCGAGCCTCCCGAAGCCGCGATGCGTAACACGAGATCGCGCGGTCGATCGACTACAACGGATGCAACGGATGCAACGGATGCAGGCGTCGGGATGCAGCTGCACGCGAAATTATTTAGTAAAGGTAACTAGACTGTCGTACGTTTACACGATGCAAAAACAAAAAGGCAGCATTAATTTGAGCAAACGGTAATTCGCCAAAATATAAGCCATTTACGTTTAACTGCAACCGACCAAAAGAAACGACAATTGAAAATGCAGCTGCAGTCTTGGCGTTACTACGTCGAACGAAAAATTTCGCAATGTCCACTGGAGTCGATTGGTAATCGCAAAACGTATCGCGGTTAATTTCTCCAGGCAGAAATCAATAATCTGAGCATTCGTGTTGCACGTTGAGTAAGAGCACGAGATCGCGACGCGTTAGCCCACGACAAGGTGGCCTTATTGGCAATAGTCCAGGAGCTACGGCGGCACGAAGTGGAAAACGTAAAAGAAAATGCAGAAAAAGAGGCAGCGGAAGAAAGGTGGAAGACCAACGACGAGCGCGATGACCAGCTGACCCAATGTACCACACCTAGTAGAAAAAATGGCGTTACGTGCCAGACAACAATGACCCAAGACTACCGTCTTATTGTGGCCCGTAGGGGCCCAGTTGGCGTTTTGCCATCAAAGAATCGACATTGCACAACCGGATGTGCCGCTCATTGTGCATTTCTTTTGTGCCCCATGTTTTTGCCCAGTTCTTTCACGCAGGGAGGATCCAATTAACAAGAAAGTTAATTACGTAGTTTTGGCAATTTCAAAATTAAAGGCTCTCGGTCGAAGTGAGAAATACGAAGTCCGGTTGCGACATACTGATCATCTGCATCTAGAATCCTGAAGTCGTCACGAGATTCCGCAAAGTCCTCCGACAATGGTTGGGTCAGGTTAGGGGGTATCGAACGGTCAATAAATCTTGAATCACGCAGAGACTCAAGGCAGGTCGGTAGGTAGGTCACGCGACGGGAACAGGTGCTTGCACAGTAGGTCAACCCGGGTCAGGAGGATCATTCAGGAGGGACGAAGTTCTGCGAAGCGCCCGGGGCGCGAGTTCGGATTAATCGAAGGGGGCCAATGAATGAACCTCAGGTTGGGTTAGGTTAGGTTTAGTGGGGATCGCAGGGCTCTTGGAATCCTCAAGACCCGTTCCCATCCGATGGCTGCCCTCTTCTCCTGGTATAGTCTGCACGTGGTAGGCAGCCAGATACGTGCTGAACCATCCACGCGACCCACACTCACCTGGACTGAGTCTCAATTCTCGATTCTCCCGAGGAAAGGAGTCGGTCAAATAACTGTACGTCGCGGCCCCTGGACGACATCTTCGCCATTGCCAGCCTGGGACCCTTCTTCTCCCATTCTCATTCCCGTACTGCTTCCCATAGCCATTCTTATTCCCATTCTTCATTCACATTCCTATTCTCGCTGCCAAATGATACGCGCGAATCTATAATCGACTCTTAATCCGTAGTCCACGTGGAAGTCTGCGTCGATAATCTGATCCGGTTTTGGAGATCGATCATTTGATATTACGCGATCTTCGCCGGTCCTATGGAGGAATGGATACAGATATAGGATTTTTTGGTGACGGTCCAGGTATCTGAGCGAAGATGTTTTCTGCTTGCAGATGCATTGGCGAGTAATGACGAGGTCAGAGGGTCGAGGATACAAAGGGATCTGGACGGTAGGTGCTGGATTTTATTATTATTATTACACCGTACACTTATAGTACGATTATACGACACCGGAACTACTCACTCTACACTTTCACACCAAGGATGCGCTCCAACGGATATTCCGTCGCTCTTTTAGTTTTTTTTTTTTAGCAATCGACACGATTTTGGAAATCTTTTCGAGCGTCTCTTTAGCACTTGTTCTATCGGCTATTCTATCATTTTTCTTATTTTTCTTGTCTGTCTCTGTTCTTGTCTGTCTTAACGTCACGCTGATATCAACTTTAAAAATTTTGGTACGGTTTTCAATTTTTTAAAAATTTTGCTTTGCGTGTTGACGCGAGGTGCGGCCGTGTATATATATTTGGAAAATATTTTTTTTTTTATTACACCTACTCTCTTCTGACTATATTTCTTATTCTGTCTTGCTGTTCGAGGTGACTTTTCGAATTTTCTCAAAAATATCGTCACGGAGTATCTGGAATTTTTCAGAAAAAAATATTTTTTTATTTTCGAAACTTTTCTTTTAATTGATCTTATTAAAAAATTTTCCGATAAAAATCTGATTCCGGGTAGTCCGAACTGTACATAAAGGTCCTAACACATTCTTCGCTCTGGAAGCTGTTTATTAATACGGAGCAGCGATGTATTATTGAGGTAGCGTAATGAATAATAATAATAATAATGCAGGGTAACGCAGGGCACGTGTCTCTTGATATTTCTCTGTAAGTAAGAAGATGGCTCGTCTACTAAGATTGTCTATTGTCTATTTTCTGTTTCTGTTACTGCTCCCGTCTGCTCCCCGCCTTCAACTTCTTCTCAACAACTGGATGCCGTCTGCCTCCAACGTCCGCCCGTCACTCCGTCTCTCCGACGACTTTCTACACCAAAAAAAAAAAACACCGATTAACAACACCGCCACTACCACCACCAAAAAACACTTCGATTATCATTGGACTCGACAAACATGAAATGCGACACTTGACCGAACTGAACTCATCCATTGACATTGATAACCGTTGATCGATTATTAACATCGACCCCATTAAATCTCATTGACAAATACTGATCGGATGGACACTCGTTTAATTTTCCAATCGTTGACTGAATTTCGCAAAACTCTTCATCACCGCGACGATTGACGTCTGGATCGTGAACACTATTTCGTTTTTTAACACTATTTTGGGCATCTGTTTCTTTTATCGTGGGTATTGCATGACCTGTTAAATGTTGCGTGTACCTACTGTGTTTTTTGGTGTTATTTACCTCTCTTTTACAAAATTTAATGTCTTGATATTATTATCATGATGATTTTTTTTATTGATCCAACTGTTTTCGGCATAATTTTTTTGTTCGATGATGTACGATGCGTTATCGTTCTTCTGGATTTTGAATTACAAATAATAATAATATTTAAAAAAAGCAGGAGTCACTACGGTACTTCTAGTCTCTGCTCGGCCGGGGAAATCGGTACCGCCTGTTGGTCTTCTGACCAAAACTGCCAGGACCTTTGTCCAAGATGGCGCCAGTACCGAGTATGCTACTCAAGTGTTAGGTACCACATTGGACAATGGTAGATTGTACGCAAGAATTCTTGCTACCTCGAGTAGAGTTTTCTATGACAAAGAACCAAGTCCCGATACAGCGAGTCCATACGTGGTTTATCCATCGAGGACGCCGCAGAATGACTGGAAATTCGAGCTCGATAATACCAGGATCAAAGCAATCAAGGAAATCGAGGGAATTAATGTTCCCACGGAATCGGAGGACGCTCGAAATTCTAATGAGAAAAAAAGCGAAAGAAAACCCACTTCCGGTTTGGATGATCTGCTGGCACGCGAGAACGACATCTTCAGTAAGCGCGAACTGAACGACGAGGTCAACAAATTCAAACCTGCTAAGGTCAAACCAGCCGATAACTTACCGACCTACACGGTAAAACAGGAATACCTGAGTGGCGGATCGGAGACCTTTGAAGACGAACAACCGAAAACCTTTAGACCGAGAGTACCGAAAATCTTTAAGCCTCAACCCAAAGTGGTTTCCAAGAAACCGGATACGAAGCCTCTGGAGACTGTGACCTATCATGGTTTTGCAGACTTCACTACTACAGTAGGAGAGAAGGTTATAGTTTTCAGTCCGAGCACAGCGCCAGCACCATCTGGCAGACCAGCCACGACCATTAAAGGCGACGCCACACTTAGACCGGACGACGGCGTCGCTGTTATGGACATTAAGCCGACCGACGTCGTGATTGGTCATAAGAAAACGAAGCTACCAACTTCCCAAGGACCGATCGAAGTCGAGCAGCCAGAGGATCCTCTTTTGGATGCTATTAACGGCGGACATTTTGGAAATCTTCAACCGAGTCACGTAAGCGAACCGGAAGTCGAGGTCACGAAGGAATCTACTACCCCGTTATTACTGATACCGGATATCGAGACAGAAGCACCAAAGCCTACTGGGCTTTTGAAGACTATCGACTCGACTACCGCGTTCGATGGGACTACTACTCATTACAAGAGTCTCATCTATGGAACTTATCTTGGCACGAATTACGCTCAGATCATCCACACGTCCTCGAATGTTTATTTCTTCCCTGACGAGGCTACTGTCACTTACAGCCCTGACGATACAAGCTCAGACGGTCATGAGGAATCAGAAAATGATGCGCAGGAACAGGAAGTCACTGTGGAGATGTCAGTTGGTACCACTTCCAATATGAGAACGACGACCGAAGAGATAACGCCCGAAATGAACGAACTAACTACTCCATTTAAAGATACCACAGATAAGGTACTGACGACTCTCAAAGATATTTTGGAAAATTCGAGGAAAGCTACTGGCAATACAGAACCGACCGAACCAACGGTACCAGTGGTGCGAACAACCGAGAACGAATTAGCCAATGATATATTACCGGGAGATCCTCAAGGTCGTAGCATCAAGGGATCATCCGGAAAGAATGATCTGGGCTTTAATGAAAAAAATAAAGAGATCCATCATAATTCAACTGATTCGGAGGAGAAGCCAGTCCAACCGTCATTGCCAACAAGAGTGCTACCTTCAACCGTGTATAAAACCTTCACTTACTTTACCACCTTCTTCATTCCGGGTGACAACGATCAGACAACAACTTCAATAAGGTCCCGTGAAGTGGTCTCTGCCGAAGTGTCTTACTTCACAGAATTGATTCTGCCCAGTGCAACAGTCGAATCCAGTCTTCACTCGACACTTCAACGGACGACGTTCAAGGACGAGTTCTGGAGCACTCCTAAGGTCGACGTTATCTCGAATGATTCGGAAGAGGAACAAACGACCAAACAAGATGAGGAAATTGAATTGATATTCAAAACTCTCTACACCACTTATACTTATCTCACGACGTTCTTCCAGGAGAGCACATCGAGTGTCTCCAGTCGTGAAGTCGTCGAGACCAACGTGATCACGCAAACCGTCGGACCAAACGGCGCCTCGGCTGACGTCGTTGGTCTCTTTGATCGAGAAGAATCGGTCCTCATTTCGCCGACCAAGATATTAGCGAATATCTCGCCTAGTTCGGTGCCCTATGACGAACCTGAGGAAGTCGAAGGAAACAGAGTTACCGTTCAGGAAAGTACAGAAGGAACCGTGACTACGGTTGAAGACCAAGAACCAACTCTTGTTGAACATCCCACTACGGAATCTATGGTCACCGAAAAGGATGATAATGACGATTCGAAGGAACCTTTTACGGAATTGGAACCTAGTCCTACTCCAGTAATGGCCACGGAGTCTCCGAAAGAAGTTATCAAAACGTATTATACTACTTACACCTACTTCACAACGATATTCGTTGACGACGACACAGAAATCGAAACAAGAACGGAAGTCGTCACTAACGTAGTAACAAAGAGTATCGAACCAACGGCAGTGGTGCCAATTCCGGAATATACGGAATCGCCAACGACACCAAAAACGGAAGTTACCGACAAGCCACCAGTGCCACCTGAAATTTTGGCCTATCTAGAAGCCATCCAGAAACAAAAATCTCAGGAGGAGGCTCTTCAGTTGGCGAAGAAGGTCCAGGAGGAATCCAGTGAAGAGACCACGGAACAATTGGAGGAGACAACAATGACTGAGGGTACCACTCAAGTGATAACCGAAGTGCCTACGACTTTGGAAGATCATACAACCGAAAAGATACTTGACGAAGAAAAGGTCTATTCTCAGGTCACGCCAAATCCGCCATTGGATGGTGAAGTTCTGGGATCGATGATAACTGACGTAATATCGTCATCGAGTTCCGGTGGCGGTATAGTTCTCGATCTTATGGATAAGGGAAATGCGGTTCCTGACGATCAGGAACTATCCGAAACCAATAATCATGAAGTGGAACCAGCTCCGACTCTCCTGCTTCAAACCAGCTACACTACTTTCACCTACTTCACGACTATGTACAAGGGTGACGATTCGAACGTCGTCAGCAGATTGGAAACCGTGACGAACGTCGTTACCGAGACAATTCGACCGTCGGCTGTATTACCGGCTGAGACCAGTACACTTCCGGTCACCTATTTCACGACCTTCACCTATTGGACGACCTACTACAAGGACGGAGATACCTTGACGACCAGTCGGGAAAGAACTGTGAGTAATGTCGTCACACCAGGCATCTTGCCCACTCCAGTATTCGAACCTGAGACAGTGATGACGTACGCCGCTACGGTGACGCCGTCACCCGTTGAGGAAGACGTCGTCACTAAGGAGAATAAGGTCACTGCTGATAATGAAGTGACCTTATCTGGCTCGGCTGACTCGGAGAAAACTACCACCGAGGAAACTGCCAGTACCGTTCAGGATGAAACTACTCCGCAGGAAGACAGCAATATCATTCCTACTGCCGTTTCACCAGAACCTACGACCTTCTATACTACTTTCACATATTTCACGACATCCTACGTTGGAAACGAGACTGTTCTAAATAGTCGATTAGAAACTATCACTAGTGTCGCTAAACCTGAAGACATTGGCGTACAGGCGACTGGCAGAGCCATTGGTGGTCCTGTACCAGGAGTTCAGCTTTTAAATACAGAAGACAAACCAGCTGCTAATGTGGTCGCACCTACTAAGGTCGACGATGGTCCTAAGACTGGTCTTCTTTCTACAGTTAGATCAAGTCAGGTCAATGATGGCACCACTACGCACTTCCTTACTGACATTTATGGTACCTATATAGACGGTCTTTATGCTAAGGTTGTGGAAAGTTCAACCAAACTGGAAACCCCGACTTTGTCGTCCTTGGCCACGCCAGTCCTGCCAACCGGAGTGCTGTCCTTGAATAAGGGTAGCATCGTAGATGCTGACGAAGTGGTAACCGTGTACTTTACTACTCAACAAATTGGAACTGTCATTGATGGGCTTTATGCTAAAATCATTGAGAGCACGTCTAGTACTAAAATTGACGAAGAGAAGAGAGCCACCATTACTCCGGTCAAGGGTCACAGAGTAGGATTGGTAAGATTGATTCAGGGACTTATGGACGATAACAAGACAACTACTTTCTATCAGTCAAAGGTCATCGGTACGAATATCGATGGTCGATATGCTCAGATCATTGAGAGCACATCCAGTTTTTTGGCTGCTACACCAACTGCTTCACCTGGCATTGCACCAACTTCCACGCTGCCACCTAATCCAGCAACTGGTATTCCAGAAATTTCACCATCACCTGCGGTTATCCAATCCAGCTTATCAGAGGACCCAACGACGGAAGTGCCGGAACATGAGGAGGAATCTGATCAGAGTGAGGAGGAAGATGAGGATGGCGAGGAGGACGAGGAGGGACAGAAATCGAAAAAGAAATCGAGATTGACCTTCTCCACAAGAAAGAGGACGTTTACCCCTGTAATTAGACCTTTTGCCTCCAGAAATAGACCGACCTTTAATCCAAAACGTAAAGGTGCTCAAGGTGCCACCACAATAACGCGAAGTGACATAACTCCAACTATAACCGCCACTCTTGCTGGCAAGGGTAATAGATTTGCTTCCTCCAGAGGAAGAATTAGTTCTCCAATTGGCCCATACTCTTCGACCTTGGCATCGGCTGGATCCAGACGCTTTTCGGGCAGAAGAGGTTCATCCTCTGCCACACCTACCCTCAATTCAGGATTTCCAGCTGGTAGCACACGAGGCAGAGGATCATCACGAATTTCCCCATCTTCTGTATTCCAAGGAAATAGACGGGGACCTAGTTCGATCAGAGGTTCATCTGCGAGAGCTGGCACAAGAGGGTCCAGTTCGGTATATCCTGGTGCTTCCTCCAGGTATAGGCCCGGAATACGACCATCTTCGACTTTGCTGAGGGGTCAATCGACTGCCAGGCATGAAGATCAGGATGATGTTGCTAATGACTTTACTACTACTACTCTGATCACCGAGGAGACGCCGTACCTTGATGACGAGGATGGAGAAACTGTTACTGCTCCACTGCAAACTACCACCGAATCTTCAAGGAGGTCTACCAATCCTCTTTTGAGATTCAGAAGACCACTCAATCTGGGAGGAAGTACTCAATCTAGACCAACCACTACTCCAAGAACAACGACTACTACTCCTAGAAGATTGGGCAATCTCTCCAAACAGAGTTCACCGACCGTACCTAGTCGATCCTTCGCGAGACCAGGAAATAGGCCTAGTGTACCTATCACAACGAGACCACGACAGGGTTCAAATGGATTATTCCCACCTAGAGGATTATTCAACAGGAAGCCTGAGCCTACTGAAGAGCCCATAGAGAATGATGAAGATTTCGATGGAGAGGATGAAGAGAATTTCGAGGATGAATCTGTTGACGAGATTGTCGATAATGATTATGAAGGATCAGAGCACGAGGACACAGAGTCAAGTAATGTTGATAATAATCGTAGATCCGGCAAGTCTCTTAGTCCGGTGGTCCAAATCAGACCATTTGCAGGGTTTGGAAGAGCAAAAAGAGTACGTCGTCAAGCAACTCAGCTAAGGTCATATGCTAATAGATTTCGTAGACCAGGTCCGACGCCACCTAAGGCTGAAGAAAAGGCAGATAAAGATGTCGCTACTAGCAAGGAAGATACGAGCAAGCCAGTTAGCAGGCCCACGTCTAGGTATAGTGTCAGAGGAAGGTCTTTGAGCTCATCCAGATCGAATGCCAATTCGCCCAAGTCCTCAAGTAATAACAGGTCCAACAGTCAGGACAAGACTGCAGAAGAGAGTGAAATTAATGTCAGTAGTCAGCAACCGAAGACCAGAATCAGGTCGAAGTCTTCAGGACTTAGAAGCTCTTCTCCAAGGGTTAAGCCATCCCCGACTTCGAGTTCTGGTAGACAATTTACTCTCAGGGAGAAGGACAGTTCCAGCTCCGTGAGATCAGGCTACAAAAGACCAAGTTCCTCAGGAACACGGAGTAGATCATCCAGTAAAACAGAAAATTCCGGTAGACCAAGACCACCTAGACTAAGAAGTAGTTCCACAAGATCTCAGACGGAGAACACTTCAAACTCCAGGAGACCTCCGTCATCGCGATCCTCATCAAGAACTTCATCGAGTAGAAACAGCAACAGAAGAGTACCGTCTCAACGAGGAAGAGGATCCATCGAGGATATCAGAGAGTCTCCATATCTGGAACCGGATTTTGATGGCACCATTACCGTGACGCATTATGTACCTACCGAAGTGACGATACCGGTAGTGAACAATGGCATAACCGAGCAAAAGAACATAATCACGGCCCAGCCCAGTATCGAAGTACTTGGTCCAGATCAATATAGCACGGTAGTCGGTGGAGACGGTCGTCCTCTCGTGGTGATAGTCAGTGAGCTCACTGGTATCAATCCTCAAGGTCAGACAGAGGTCACACGCTTCCTCCTTCACGACACACCAACCACACGCGTCTCACACACATTAACGACTCTAGGTGGTCGCAGGGCGTCCCAATCCGTCATAGTGCCGTCGACTATTTATTCAGTGGAGAACGTAGTGTCCACCTTGGCGCCGTCATTACCAAGTGCACAGTCGCCATTGGCGAACATCTTGCTGTCCCAATTGCTGTTGGGCCAGCTGGGTCAGCAGAATCCATTGTTGGGTGGTTTGCAGCCCCAGGGCACACCGACAACGCAGTTTAACACGCGTACAACAACATACGTGACCACCATCACGAAGCATCAGAGCACAGTGATCCCTTTGACGTTCAGGGGCAAAGAGATCCTGACGACGCTGGTCGACTCGTTGACGGACGTCGTGACGGCAACTGAATTCATTACGGACACAGTCGTGGTCACGCCCACTGCTGCTCTACCAGGCGCGGCCGATCTCAATTCTCTGTTGCTCCTGCTGCAGCAACCGCAACAGCAGCAACCAAACCCCCTCGATCCGTTGTTCGCGGCGGCCCCGTTGCTCACGCAGAGCAACACGCTACCCGGTGAGATCGAGCGGCGACATCAGCCAGTGGACGCCGATTACAAGACGGACAATTACGAGGACTCCGAGGAGGAGCAAGATAAACAATCGAGGTCGAAGTCACGCAAGAGCAACAGGAATCATAATAAAAAGAACGACGCGCCGGCCGAACCGAGCGTCGTGACGCTCTACGTTTCCGGTCGCAGACCGGGGGAGTTCAGCACCGTATTGAGTACGGTGCAGGTTGGGGAGAACGCGACGCCCTCGAGGAGAAGAAGGGAGGCCCATGCCGAGTTGATGGCATCGAAACCGCCATCCTTACATGCTGCGCCGGAAGCCATCGGCGTTCTGGCAGGAAGCGAGGATCCGATAAACGCGCATGCGCCGACTCAAAGTCTCGAGAGCGTAGTGGGCGACGTCGGACGGCACATCTTCACCGCTATCTATACCTAATCTTATATGCAGATCCTTGCAGCCCTAAGTCCTTAATTATACAGTCTCTAATAATTAGTCGATCGGCTCATTTCTTCCTCATCCATATCCATGAAGCCGATGGCGATACGTCCGTCCCAGAATTCCTTGTTCCAGGATCCTCTGGATGGATAGAAGAACGGGTCACGAGAAATCACGAGGATGCACGATTCTTCGCGAACTCTGCGTTTCTATTATCGGTCGAGCTTTCCAGACTCGGAATGTAATATAGTCAGAGATACCTTAGTCTCGGGAATTTTTACCGGATAATCGAAAATTCGTGAACTCTTTTTGCTTTCGTAGATTCTTACGAAATTCTTTGATCACGTGACTCTTATGTTCTCGTATTTGATCCGTCGACCCGTCAGGCTCCATTTGCATCATTGAACCGTCTTTTCCTCGCTCCACTTCTCTCCAGTCACTCTCCCTCTCTCTTTCTTTCTTTTCCTTTTCTCTACACCTATGCCTATCGTTATATACATGCACGTTTACTCTTTCAATTTTTCTCTCTATCGCCTTTTCTCTATTTGCTCTCTTTCGAACTTTCCCCTTTCACGCATAGTCCCACATGTCCTCGTACTAACTCAAAGCCGCCGCACGCGCGCCCACACGACAAACGGCGAGTCGCTCTGACACAGAATTCTGACAACACAACAAACAAACAGCAACAGCAACAACAACAGCAAGTGAATGGCCTTAATTATAAAGATAGACGGAAAATAACTCTACTAAAACCCGCCAGCAGAAGATTGGCTCAAGAGCAATAAATGCCTTAACAACCGTTTTAACCAGGCAGTGGTCGGATTTTCGAATAAGGAATAATCTAAGGAATAAGACTCAAAATATATAGTGCGAAAAAAATTAAAATTAAACAAAAATGCTTACTATCACATCGCACATGCTTGGTCGTGGAGATTTTTTTTTTTTCAAAAATGCCTGCACGATTTTCACCCATCGCGTGCCCACACGTATCCACACGAGGATCACCTTTTCAGGTGAATCTCAGGACGTCCAGTTGGGCAGCGAGATAGACGCGACTTCTGAACGGACACTGAATTCGGAGGATCCTCCAGGAAGTGATTACGAAAAAGACCAAGGTCAACCCGAGGAAAATTCGCGAAAGCGTATTCGCATTCGGGTCCCCGTGGTTCGCAGTCGCAATGGAAAGCAACATAAGTTCACTGTAGTGAGACGTAGACCCTTGGTGCCATATACGAAAAATTTGCCAGGAAAATTCCAAGAGATTGCGCAACACACACCGAGAAGACTCGTGGTGACGCGAGTCAAATCTCGTGGTCCAGTTGGTCCAGTTGGCAGTGGCGAATTTTCAGGTTTGGTAAATGCGCACGCTGCTCTCGGCGCACGTCACAAAGTGACTGTCACTCGTAGACGAAAGATACGTCCTACGTCAGTTCAGGAATTTCCGAACAAGGCAAGAGTAACTAGAAAGAAGTTGGTCAACGTCAGACCAATTGTACAGCCGACACCAACTGTGGAAATTATTACCACTGGTTTCTTCAGTGCACCGTCATTGGACACTGATAACAATGATTCGGACGAGTATGAATTGGAGGATGATGCCGACGAAGAGAAAATTCACGGTGACTCCCTTTCTACTCCTAATCTCGAAGATACGCCTAATAGTATTGAAAACAAACCGGAAGATGCTCTTGAGGATTCGGAAGAACCTTCCAAATTCGAATTGGCTTTGCCGGAAGTAACTAGTTCGAACAATGACCCGGTTATCATTACTGATAACTTTTTCTTCCCGCCGTCTAACGACGACGAGGAGGTGTACGATGATGATTATCTTGACCACGAAGAAAATCCTGTGGAAACTACGGAATATCAAAGGGAAATGAATATTTCTATTGATTTGACAAAATCATCAGGGGACTCTGTTAAGGATGACAAGGACGAGACGGCGTCTGATGATAATCTGAAATACGATACCGATCTCAGCAGTACGACCGAAAATCTTTTAAACGTCGTATTGACGACCGAACAAGTTATCAAGGATCTTGATGACTTTTCGACGACCGTTTCGAATCCTGTGACAACGAACGTCACTGATGATTCAAATTCGACGACTATTCGAACTGATGAAATGTCCTTGGAAAAGGAGACTATTCCGATAACCGTGACTACAGACATTTTTTCGAAAAATGATTCCGACGTTAAAGAAATTAAGGATTCGGATAGTTCTATCGAATCTGTTGAAACTATTACTATTAATGCCCCTACTGATAGTACTATCACTGAGTCCAATGTGGGTACTGATAACACAATGATTACGACTACTGAAAATCTGGAGGAAGAATTGACAGTAAAACCGTTAGAATCCGAATTGCCTATAGAAATTTCCGAAAAGTCGGAAAAACCAGAACTTAGCAAAGTTTTTAATGAAAATTCAAATTCGTCCAAAATTTCGCTTGAAAATCGAACAGTCAATTTAAGCAATGCTTCTGTTTTGATTTCCGAGGATTCAATCGCTCCGACGGTCGTTCCCTCATTGTTAGCCGAGACAACAACCCCGATTCAGGAATCAATTGAAATACCGACAGTTATACCTCTCGAATCGTCATTTGATAAAAAATCTGAAAAACCGGAAATACTGGCATCAAAAACGATACAACCAATCGCCCAATTGACAACCACAATTACATCACCGACACCGGAAGACATAGAAGCCGGTTTAGCCGACGATTTTTATCTATCCCTCTCCCGTCCCGATTTTCCAAAAATTCTCCCGTCAAAACCAATCGAGGAAACTAGATTCTTTAAAAATTCCCAAAATCCACCTGACGTCACTCCCGAGCTCAGTACGCGCGTATACTACAGCGAGACAGTCGTGACGTCAACGAGATTGCGAACTTACACGTACGTCGTGACGAAATTGAACGGACTGATGACAGAGGTGACGTCATCGACGACAGTGAAACCAAGAGTGACGACATTAACGTTGACGGTGCCAGTGACGATAACAGTAACACCCAAAATGGAACCATCACCAAATACCGTATCACCTGTGTATAATCCAGAACCCGCTATTGGTGAGTATCCAAAAAAATCCCATACACACGTAAACACTATTACTATATATAGATGAATGAGCAAATAGATATACATATCTATAATGATAAAAGATTGCTAATTAAAGACATGAGATAATTATACACTACAAGATACGTACAGACACATAAGACATTCACATCAAAAAATCCCGTGGGATCCTGGTTGATTGGCTGACACCTAAATTCTTATGGTTTCAAAGTCTGGTTGTAACCTGTACTAGTTTTTTTTTTTTTTTTTCATAACGTTCTGAATTTCCAATAAGCTTCAGTGCCCATCTATTATATCCCATGGTGATATTTAACATCTCCCTGGAAAGAAAAAATTGGTTCAACGGACAACACTGTATAATAAAATTCTTCCAAATTCTTTTCCAATTGGCTTCTGACGTTGATCTTTCACGCAATATATTCTATTATTATATTATAAATATGTATCTATAATCTATGTACGATTCTCTACATGTATATAATGTAAAGAGTAAATTTCTGTGTATATAAAAATAGTCAGCCGGTACGTGCATCTGCGTACAAATGTAAACGTTACGCAGGCGTCGTACGGCGTCTGACCACTCGGCACCATTTCCACTGTGACTATCGAATATTTACTTGACCGTATCTTGATACACGTCCAGTTCTAGAATTCACGAAAGGAATTCGAGTAGGATTTGTTTAACTGCGTAAAATATTATCGAATGGAATTATCAAGTGCAATTGACAATATCAGAGGTACACACGGCGGAGGAAGAGGACGAAGGTCGAAGGTTCAATCTAGCGACGCGGATTATGTCCAATGGAGTAGAGGTGATTGTGGCTGGACCAACGCCGGCATTGAGGTGGGAAAATTCAAATCCGCAACCAACCCTTACGTTATCGGATGCTGTTATGATGCTCCTCCCACAAGATAACCCACACGAATTCGTCACCAAGACGTGCACTACGGTCTTTACGTATCTGAACACGATCACCAAGGACGGCAAGACTATCATATCCACCGATCAACAGGTGACGATTTTGGATCCAGTGCACTGAACGATCTTCCCAGTAGATCAGTGGTTTGACAGTGGATTTTGGTTTTTTTTTTAGGTGGTTGCCAACACTGCTACCGAGGAACGTCACAGGAAACCTGTGTCCGAGACGGCTGGCGTCACGCTGGAAGGATCACCTACGTTGAGGACTGAAGTATTTAAAACGACCTATACTTACTTGACCTTGAACACTGATTATCCAGACGTGGATAACGCTTTGGAGAGTAGCGTCAGAGTAATAGCCAATACCATGACAGCACCGCAACACTATTTGGATATGATTCTGGAACCTTCGGAAGCACCCAGACCGGAAACTAATACTTACCTAAGTACGAGATTATTGGAAAAGACTTTCATGGAGGATGGTAGGACCAAGATTAAACCCATTAATGACGTTATTACTCAGGTACAAGAAAAAGAAAATTAGTAAATTTTTTATTTATATGTTAGAATATAATTTTTTGGATTTTTATAATTTTTTAAAATTAATTTTAGTTGATAATTACCGAGTCTGTTCCACCGCCAAAACCCACTAGAGTCGCGATGACACTGACAGCTTTGGACAACATCGAAGGTATTGCTGGTCACGTGGTGGAGACTTCATTACATAGATCTACTATAGCATGTTTCTGGATAACTAAACCATACTAAAGTTTTCATGTCTTCTGACATTGTCACAGAAAAGTTGCCATCGAAGAAGAGTACTACGAAGATCGTCCCGGTGTTTCCGACTCCTGAACCGATTCAGATTTTTGCGACAAAGACTTACCTAACGACCTTCACTTACTTCACGACCTTACTTCAGGTAAGGATCCAGTAGATCTTTGTTTGAGTATTGGAAATATGGACTTTCTCAATTTGCAGGCTGGTCCTGATGGTGATACCTTGACGACGGTGTCGTCCAGGTCACATATAGTAGAAAATGTGGTAACTGAGTCCATAGCTCCAAATTTATTGGATCCTGGATATATGAATGCATTATTGACAACTGCTCATCATTCCGACACTGTGAAAAATGTTGTCACTGGATCAACTATAATTTTCTTTGATGAGGAGGATCAGATTGACCCGACGCTCTCGACGAAAGGTCACGAGGCCACTCTTAGTATAGAACCGGAAAAGGTCGACAAGAAACCAGAAGCTACTGTTGTTAGTTCCACGGATAAGACACCACTTGTTATGAATGCCGCCACTGTACAGAATGCACAGACTAATTTAATGAATCAGGTACGACGAGCGAGGAACAGAATTTTATTTTGGTGCTGGTACATTTTTTAAGAAATGTTGAGGTCAATTTTTGATTTATTACTCAGGGTGGTAATAACACTAAAGAGACGGACGATTCGAATCCAGTAAAGAAGCCTTCGAATTCACAAAGTAGTAGTGATCTTCAAGTGAGCAATCTGTTGAGCCTTGGATCATTGGGGATCAATGGTTTATCAGCTCTTGGACCAGTGATCACGGCAATGGCCGGTTTGTTGCAAGGAAAGACTTCAGCCACACGCAGAAACGACAGCATTACGCCCAACGAGCCACAGGAAGTCACTACGCAGAGATCGCCAATTTATATTCCGGTTGCTGAATTTGCTGATGGAGATATTGACACGGCTGAAAGTCAAAATATTGGTAAATATATATAATTATATTTTAAGGAATTAATGAAACCGTGTTTCTTGATTTGATCAATTTTCCATTTAGGTACCCACTTAGCAAATCTAAATCACAACTATCTCCCGGAAACACGACATAAGGTAGCAGCTAGTCTGGCTGATGGAATTCCAATTTCTCCAGGTGAGGTGATAACGGCGAATAGTGACGTCATAATTGGGAAACCAGGAAAACTGGCGCCCAGACCTCCACATACATTCTTAAAGGGTGAAGAGAATATTGGTATGAAACCACCTCCGATGCCAGTTCCAAATATTCCTGTACACCCTGTACATGAAGTTATACAAGATCATGAAGATTCTCAGGCTCAGCAGACAACTCAGGGATCTAATGGGCATCAAATTCAAATTCTCCCAGCGCATCAGATTTACGAGGAACATTTAAAAGTTCCAGCTTCTCTACCAGTGTCGTCCAACTCTAATATACAGTTGGTACCTAAACACCCGCAAAAACTACATCTGATTCAATCCCATCATCCAAAACGAGCAGGATCAAAGCATGATATCATGCAGAATGATCCTTTATTGAAGCCGCCTAGTAGACCAAACGTGGAGCAATATGCGAATCCCAATGTAAACACTCATGAGCCCAATTGGAGTCCTGAAAAATATCGTCGTCCTTGGAGCGCCAAGGATCCTTTAAACTTGCCGCAGGATTGGCGAGAGAATGAGGCAAATGATCCTTCGAGATTCGATGATGTGCAATCCGATCATTTGGCAAAGATCAATCGTTGGCCAAAACCAGAAGTGTCGCAAGATCAGAAGCGTCCGCCATGGGCTCAGAAAGATCCATTACTTCCGGATACCACCGTTGTCATCGAGAATTCAGAATCGAAACCTAAACTGCCAGAACCAATAATTCATCAAGTACCTCACGTTATCGATAGACCAACTGGTCAGCCATTATTAGTGAATATTCAACCAAGTCAGGTTGCCAATGTGGTTATTCCGCAAGGCGGTACTCAAGCTCTGATCTTTGGTGACACCAGCGAACCTCATATTACAGGGCAGTACTTTGATGATCCGTCACCTTATCCTGAACCTGAAGTGGGTCCAGGATTCGTTGGTATCGAGAAGGTAGGATTTCTATAAAATACTAATTATACGTATAAAAATTATGCTTACAGCAAGTATACATGAATATTTTTTTTTCAGGTTGAAGATCTACCGCAATTTTCTACTGGGAATGATCCAGCTGATTATATGGTGCCGCCATCACCGCCTTCGAACTTCAAACAATTACCTCCAAAAAGTTCAGCTAACCAGCCACATACTATTCCACTGTCACATTCTCAAAGTCCCTTTGTGAGACCTCAAACAAAATCGGAAGTACCGTTGTTGAGACCTGAAAGGCCCGAAGTTCATTTCATTCAGAGACCTGAAGGTCCTGGCATGTCCAGTGGACAAGGACACGTGCATACGGAAATCCTGGTTCATCACAGACCGGAAACTGTGAACATCAGACCTCAGGCAGCCCCACATGCACCTATACAATCTCACGTAAATCCAGCTCATCAATTACCTCCACGACGAGATTATCCTAAGCCCCAAAGGCCATCAGAACCATCACCACCTAGAAGAACTGATGTCCCAATTGCAACGGAAATTCCACACCAATATATATTCCTAGGAAAGCCAACCGATTCCGGAAATGAAGTACCTCTAAATTCAAATTGGAAATCTGACAAGAAACCATCGAGAATAAATCCGGGATCACGGCCAAGACCTGCAACGAGACCTAGACCACCAATAAGGACAAATACGAATTTCCACAGTCACGTTCTTTATCCCGATAGACCCGCGGGTCATTCAGGAAGGAAACCGCAGTATCCAGCTATTCACAGACAACCAATAAAACCACAATTCAATTTTACTCCACCAAATTGGTCACAACCAAATCCTCAGAAACAGGAACCATCGATACAAGTACCAAACTTATCTTATGATACGAACGTCAATATTCACGAATCATCTTCCCAGTATAGTCAGCATTCCCAGATTGACCTTCAAAACAGGCCTCTTCATTTTTATAACAATAGACCTAATATGGATAGTTCAGGAATTACAGTATCTCAGGAAGAACCGCCTGCGGACTACGTGCCAACCGGAGCCGTTGAGTATCACAACCCTTCATCTGATCCTAAAGTGAAACCTGAAGACACTCAATACTATCCTCAAGTATCAACGATAAAACCGGAAGTTCAGAGCTTTGGAGAGATACTACAACAGCCTGAAAAAGATCCTGCTGTATGGCAGATCAACACGCAGACTGAGAAGGTCTTAGAAGACTCTGAAAGTAGTGGTTCTGAAAATGTAAAGGTTCATGATCATCCGCAAGATCAGGATGGTAAAAACAAGGATCAGATACACAAATATGACAAGGATGACATAATTACTGTTGGCGAATTCAATCAGTCTGATAATAATGTCACTGTACAAATGAAGAATCCTTATGATACAGTTGGTTCAGTCAATACAGTAGTTGGTAAGCCTTTGGACATAGAGCAAGGTATTACATATGGTCAGAAAGATCAGGCACCAGTTGATGTGAACCAAAGCGTACAGTTTGGACATCAGAATGGGGAAGGATCAGTGATACAGGGAGTTCCATTTATGCATGATTATTATACTATCAGACCATATGAGACTCCCATTGTTCAGGGTAAACCATTTGGAGTTTACAATGGTTATAGCAATATAGCCAGACCTTATGGACATAATCAGAAAGGCTCGAGACCTGATTACGAGATAGTACAGGGCGTTCCATTTGGATATCAAGCAGGACAGAAACCAACAGTGGTTCATCAGAATAATCAGATGGGTCATGTTTCTACGCAAAAACCATACGAGAGGGATGACACCATAGATCTTAAACCTCCTGCGATAATTTCACAATATAGCCCTGAATCTGGGAGACCTAGCAGACCTTATTCCAGACCTCAGAATAGACCTGACTCGAGACCGACTGTTTACTGGAGACCTGAAATAATCACAAAACCTCCGAATAAGTTTGATATAAGACCAGATCACGTGCCTGGACGTCTTGATCTGTCTGTGAACCGACCTGGACACGTAGAGGCTAGACCTAGACCTGATTCAGAACTCATTTTCAGACCTGATTTCAGCTCGGAACACACAAATGAATCTTACGATAGTAAGAATCAAGATCATTCAAGAAATCAAACTATTTTGCATGCCAATCACGGATCGATATCACAGGCTGATACGGCTTCGAAACCAGAAGAAGAAAGTCGATTCCCCACTCGTATCGACCAGGGAACTCAAATCCATCCAGAGTATCCTCACATTCTCACAAAGCCAAGACCTCAAATTCCAGTTCCAATAACCATCTCTTCTGGTCCTACGAAGACGGATAATAATGGCCGACCTAAAATTCAATTCTCTTTACCAGTTGAAGCAACTGGGGATGAGGAGGATAGTAAAACACAAACTGAGAGACCACCTAGTATGTTGGTAACTAAAAATATACAGAACAATAAACAAAATGATGAAACGTTAGAAACTGCTTATCAGACCAATTTCGCAACATCTGACGTCGAGGATGATCTTACTGACGATGAGGAGGAGGCGCCTCAATCACATTCTGGTAAGGATCGTGAACAAGAATCTGGCATGAAGATCCATCAGGCCAAACTACCTTCACAGGATATGATGCCTCCGCCATTGAGGGCCCAGGTCAATGTGAACAGTCAACACAAAAATGAAGCAACAGAAGAAGGCCTAAAACCACCTCCCCTACCTTCCGACGTCTTGGGACTCTCTCCTCCACCAGTAACCATAACCACAACCAACAGACCCATCGACGATGACTTCCCGTTCGTCGAAGAAAACCAATCCGGGTTGAGACCACCTCCAAAGTATGATCCTTCGAAGGATTCAAACGGAATCGGCACTCCTCCATCTCCAGATGTAAGCATGGTGCCACCAAGTCCACGACCAACAATGGCCAGACCATTCTTGGTTGAGCTTCTATCGGAGGATATGGTACCACCTCCTCCTATTTTGGAGACTTCACGTCCGTTGGAGGTCGCCACTGTCAGACCAGCAGTTGCTGTTTCCGGTTCGATTCAAATAGCAACCGCTGTCGCAACATCACATATTCCTGTTATACAAGACATGGAATCCAAGATTCCTATAATTCACGGAACCGTCGACCTTCCGGTAGTTGTTGATGTACCAGCAATTTTACGACCTGTTGAAACTAAGATGACAGAACACGTTAGCATCTACACGGTAAAACCATTTGAGAGCAGACCAGTTTCCAGAGTGTCAGTTCAGCCTACGGCAATTCTAACGACCAATCTGATAATGCCGACGAAATTACGACCACCCCTAATTGATCAGATCGAACCAAGTAGATCCTTGACTACTCCGGCAATGATTCAACCAACAAGATCAGTCACTGCCGAGATTTTGAATAAACCAAGCAAGCGACCTGATCGTCCAGTATTTTTGGAAGCTAGCAAGGAAAATATTGCACCGAGTCGTATAGAGCCTACCGAGTCATTAACTTATATCGTGGGTACTGATCAGAATAAGAAGCATCAGTCGACCAAGATGGATAAAGAGGACGTGACGAATATCCAAGAAGTACAGATGACAAATTCTTTGAGAAACATCACCAAAAATAATGATCGTGATATTCCTAACGTCGTGACGCGAATTGATAGCTCCGTAAGAAAAGTAACGAACACTTTAGTACCGAAGCAGGATCATCCACATGTCAACGATACCATGATTAAGGTTACCAAGGACATCGTGGGAACTGTCATTCATGAAGTTGTCAAGGATGGCTCGACAGCCACTATGGAAATGAAGCCTAAAGAGGTATATATATATAGTAATGACATTACTCAAACAGTTATTGTAAATGTATTATGCAATGTTGTTCAGGTAACGAGGTACAAGACTTTGACAGTAACAAGAACAGAAACATCAGTCTTGGGATCACCGCCGACAACCAGAACGTTGCTACTGACTCATACAATAACATCCACCATAGTGGAAACAGTGACGGAGACTCTGCTAAGACCTACCAGCGTTGTGGCGACAGTGACGTCAACGGTTCTGCATTCGGTGACCAGGATTCCTTCCTCCTACGAGAACGTAGTTGATAACGATTCCATTTTTGTGGTAATGAGCGATCAGAACCCACCTGAACCAGGTGCTGAGGAGGTATAAATCTTTTCCTTTTTTTTTTTATTGAATAGGATTTGCGAAATCAAATATTAAATAACGATTCCTCCAGGTGGAAGCTGAATATGGAGAAGAAGAAGTCTCCAGAGATGAACAAGATCCAGCAGGAAACGAGATCCATCGTGTCCTGGCAGGAGGAATCCTTGGAGCTCCTGTCATTCCTTTGCAGCCTGCGTCCAATCAATGCGTCCCAGAGTGTCGAGCATCCAAAGCGGAAATTTGCGCTGAGGTCGGAGCAGAAATGAGGTGCGTCTGTCGTCCAGGATTCGCTAGGATGTTCCCGGATCGTCCTTGTAAACGTAAGTTAATTTGAATCTTCTATCTCCTTGAATCTGATCCTGATTGAAGTACTGATTTGCTATTTCTTCTTCCAGCAACCTATACATACACCGTTCGAGTTGGTCTGGATCGCATAGGTCGCGATCCTGTGATCTATGAACCTGCGCTGAATCATTCGAGTTCAGAAGTGTACAGACGCTTGGCTGGACCCACTAAAGAAGCTCTAGATAGGACTTTAATGCAGAGTGACCTCAGAGACATATACAGAGGTCTGAATATTGCTGGATTTAATGGTGATCCAACTGCCGTCGAGTTCCATGTTCAATTGAGCGACAATGCAAATGAGACCAGGCTGAAGGATGTTCTCCGGAAGTACTTGGTGGGCAGCAATTACAGTCTAGGTGGAACTGAAGTCTACGCGGCGAGAGATCTGGACCTGGTAAGTTGCAAAACCGGAAGAAGTAATATTAGACAGCTTTTACGAATGATGAGCTTATTTTTATTCTATCTAGATCGATGCTAGGGACTTTGATGAATGTGCGACCGAAGAAGGTGGACCGCACCATGACTGTTCACAAAATGCAGCATGTTTCAATCTGCGAGGATCTTATCAGTGTTCCTGTCGCGAAGGATGGGCTGATCTCTCAGAAAATCCTGCTTATCCTGGAAGAGTCTGTTCTCAGGCTCCCCTGGGGTGTCCTGCTTGCAACTACAAGGGTCACTGCGTGACGAACACAAACGGTCAGCAGGTTTGCGAATGCTTCCCATGGCATAATGGACAACGTTGTCAAGTCAATTTGAAAGGTAAGTATCCAAAAAAAAAGCATTGTCCACTCAACAACGTTTAAGAATATTTTAATTGAAAGTAATAATTCGTTCTTTGTTAGTTCTACTTATAGCTCTGGCGACTACTGGAGCAATTCTTTTGGGTCTTCTGGCCGTTTGCGTGGGTCTTGCTTGTTTCCGAAAACCAGGAGGAAAGACCAAGTCTGGTGACAGACGTGCGATGATCCCAGGACCTGGTGGCGATACGAGCAGCGAGGGTAGCGTAACGGATCTAGCGATTCCACATCACGTGCCGCATGTTTTACCTCCTCCACCCCAGATGGTAGCACCAGCACCACCTATAAAGAAACCAGTTAGAAAGATCAGTGCGAAACCACGACATCCTCCCAGAAAACCTGCAGCTCCCGTTCCAGGTATATTCATCTCGTTGAAAGTATATGACAAATTCTATAAAACGCCAGAATTATTTTATTTATATTTTATATTTGGACAGTTTCCGCGAATGATGATCAACGCGACCGTTCCCTAACTGTGATGATCCCACGCGCAAAGTATCGCTCGGCGCCGCAGTCACCACAAAATTATAAACCAGTAATGAGTACCTTCGCAGCCGATGAACACAAATTAATCAGCTACCTGGAAGGTGGATCGCATCCAGGAAATCGAAAAGTCAGTATAACCAGCAACAAGGATTACAAGGAAGCAGAGCTTCAAATTGTACGGGCTCCAGTGGCGCCTGGTGGTGCCCTAGTGAGTGCGGGTTTCCAGGTAATGATAAGATTAATTCAGAATATTTTATTTTTCAGGGAAATGATAATGCAAACATTGACTGATTCCATATTGATTACAGGTGTCAGCAACGGTAACTAGAACTCTTGACGTAGAATCAACCCTGGCTAGATCTTGTGGTGAGACAACAGTAGAACCAGCCACCAAGATCCTACGGACTTCTGATCTACCTTTAGATCATGGATCAACGTTGGCTAGATCATGTGGGGAAACGACCATTCAAGCACCGACGAAACTACTTCGTCTGGATCTTGGAGAAGCAGGCTCGACTTTGGCCAGATCCTGCGGCGAAACAACGGTCCAGCCTCCTACGAAGGTGGCGGCCAATCGCAGGAGTAGTATGAAGGACGTAAGGGATGCTAGGGATACTCGAGACAGTAGGGATACCAGGGATACTGCCAGTGACGGACATACAATGGCTGAAAGGGATCTTGGTAGTACTTTGAGACTTCCGGCCCAGCATCCGCCTTTATACAATCCAGACAGAGTAAGTTAAAATTAGGATTATCTTTGAAAATTGAAAATACAATTTTTTTTCTTGCTAGGCCAGCGATAGAGAATCGAATTTCGATTCTCTTTAGGAGTATGTCCATCAGATGCTAAAATGGGAACGGTGACCGGAACCGGAACCAGGGCGCTGGAAGCCGCTGGAAGGTGCTGGCAGTGCGAACGCAGTTTCCCAACACTACGCAAATTCGTTGTTGCCAAATAATAATTAAATGAAGAAAATCATAATAGATTTATAGATGTATCGACATTTATATCAAATTAATTCATCGAATACGACGGTTCGTGAAAGATCCAAAGATTTTTTTTAACGAACCGCCGTACTGGTATTAATATACCAGGAACGGATGAGTCAATCTAACCGGATTAACATTATTTATTTATAATCATATACACGTATACACATATACACATGTTTCTCTTCCTTTTACTCCATTCGACAAAACTGAACATCTTGAGTATCCAAAGTCCGTCCAATCAAAGGATCCGTAATTTTCTAAAAATGTCGGATTCTTTTTTTAACATCGTTTTTTTACCCCATAATTAACTTCGTGCCAAAATGTAACCAATGAGAAAGTTTTCCGAGGTGCCAAGCTACCTCCTTCCTCCATACCCTCTATACCTCTTATGCTATATAAATATATTTTTCATTTGCCTCCCAAAATGTCTTCGAAATGGGAAAAAGGAAGACTTTTTAAAGCCCGAAGAGGCGAGCATTAAAGAAAACTTCGGAAAAGTAAAATCGACGAAAACTACTATCTTATGTAACTAATAAGAAACGCATTACGATAACGCCAGAAATCGTCATGCAATACGGTTACAAAAAAAAATGTGGCTTCCATTATTATTGTTGTTGTTGTTTGTTTGTTTAGTCTATTTGTTACGGGTCCATGTCTACGTTGCCCGGCTTCGTCGCAATACCAAATTTCTCACAGAATTGAAAAAAGGCCTCTCTTTCTCTCTCTACACCTTTTTTCTTGCGTTTCTATGTATATCTTTTGGGAATTCCCTCTACATCCATATTGTACAATTTACTTCTATCACTTTTTTTTATATTTTGGGACGGAGCCGTCCAACGTCGCGAGAACAGACTCGAGAGGCGAGCGAGCAAAGATTCGTTACGTAGATGTAATCGTAATTAATTATAACGTAATTAACTGTTACGCAATGTATAACGCACAAGGACAGAAATCTCTTAAATTTTAACGAGGATTATTGTTTTCTTTGGTTATTTTTGCATTATTAAGAGTATATCTTGACTAAAACAAAAAAATTCTCGCGATGCTCTGCCAACAAAGGAGTCATTGAGAACGAGAAGAAGTGGACGAAGAAAAAAAACATTAGTATCAATCTGTACTAAATTGTTCTTTATGTCCAAATGAAATTGGTACCTACCTTATAGTATATATATACACGAAAATATATATATCTATCATTCTGTTGTACATACTGCCTCCATAAACTCTCTACGTTAATACTATTGTATTTTTGTATACTTTTAGCATCTGTATACTTATGTATGTACTTTTAATAAAACTAAATAATACAAAAAAAAAGGAGTTACAACCCCATCGACTTTTCATAAAAAAGGCGATGAAATTGAAGAAAGTATAAAGCACTTGTTAAAGAAATGGCGCACCCATACGTCTTTGAGTTGTTCGGTCCGAGCGGAAATTAACGTCTCGAGGATTTGTGAGAGAATGCGTCCCGACGCCGAATATGTAAATGGCGACAGTGGGCGCCGTGCACGGCGATGGGAAGACCTAATAGATATCTCAAACATGCGGCAAGCGCGCTGAAAATAAATAAAAGAACTCGTAATGAAAGGTCTTTACGTGTCGCCGATTCCGCGTGTCCTCACTGGTGAATCTATACATACTGGCGACTATATCGAATTAGTAAAGGCTTTAGGTAACACCTACGTCCGATCAAGAACACTCGATTACGTTAGTCGAAATCTATGAAAATTGGAATAATGAATTTTCCAAAAATCACGAAACGATCTAGACTCGAAATAGAGCCTTCGCTTTAATTTGCATTTGTTACTGGAGCAGCATGACCAGATTACACGGTTGTAGGAAAAGTGTACGTTTCTATCCGTCAGTACTGGCGGTTCTTTTGACTTGACGAAGCGCAGGGGAAAGAGGCGGCCGGTAGTGGGGGAATTGTCGAAGAAGAAGAAGAAGAAAATAAAATTGAATTTGCCGGGCAAGAGGATTATTCGGTGGTGGCGATGGCGATTGAGATTGGCACCAGAGGACCAAGCAGAAGCAGAAGCAAGAGAAGAGAAGGTTGAGAGGGGCGGGGGGGGGGGGGGGGGGAAAGGGGGG